GATCAATAACATTGCAGATACTTCTTTGTATTTTATCAAGAATCTCTAAGTACACAGCAGAAGCACCAGACCAAATGTGGCAGCAGTATTCAAAGCAAGGACTTATAAATGTATAAGATAGATTCTTGCGAGAAAAATTGCCTTTCATGACACAGTGAACTAATTTTCCTAGCAGCAATCGATTCAATATAATCTTTCCACGTCATGTTAGCGAAAAACGTTAGCTCAATGAGAAGAAAATAAATAAGTCTCCTGGCGGTTAGCATCAGTCATGTTGATAGAAGGCAAAAAAAAAAGGATCTCTCAGACAGTTAAAGGAGGGTCGCTTCTTTATGTATTAAAAATGTAAATATCTACTCATCTGAGATTTTTTTCCCAGATTTTACAAGTATAAACTGACCTCTTGAGAATATTTCCCAGCTGCTTCAGCTTTAAATCAAATTCTTCCACAGTTTTCAGCACTGAACCAAACCAGTGAGTTTTTGGTTGAAAGCACAATCCAGGCAGTTTTCAAGTTTGCCGAACAGTAAAGCTAATTCGTTCGCGTGTATACGTGATGTTGTTTATTATCTGTGCAGCATCAAGCCATTGGTAATTACAGAATGTACGTTTCCTTACGCCAAAGCAACTTGTTGATATATACAAAAATGTAACTTCCTTTATTGTCTCACTTTGTGAAGAGTTCTATTGTTACTTCATCCGAAGTACAAAAGAGAATCCTCTTCCATGGATGCTTACAAAAATGAGTCTGGCATATAGCCATTAACTATATTAAGCTTAGGCCTGTCTGACACAACTACATATGGTCAGATATGGGAGCAAGAATGAGTTGCACCAATCTTCTCAGTTGGGATAGATAGCCTGCTATAAAAATCAGCATTCAAAATCCTTTTTAAACCTGCAATTGAAAAACTTATCAGTATTGCTGGAAAAATATAAACTATTTTAGACACAATGCAGATTAATCTCATGTAATTTGTCTTGCTGAATTTGTGGGGTGTGTTTGTATCCTGTAATCCATTAGGGTCGTAGGGTCACTATTTTTATTGCACCCATAGCAAATGTGGCGTGTCTCAGGTAAGATAGCCTGACAGCGTACAATTCTCTTCAGTCTGGGTTTGAACTTAGGGTTTTTCTTCTTTTAGATTGGTTACCGCAAGAGAGCCCAGTCTGCTCTGCTATTTAAACCGTAGCTGGAGGCAGATGGATTCATGCCTTTTCCAACGTCATTTGTGCGAAGTGAATGAAACAGAATCGAGCCGGGATCGAACTCAGCAATCCTAATTCACTTTCCGGGCCGATATCCGTTATACTACCTTCTAGATTTGGGCACCTCGAGGCGATGTAATGGTTAACAAGCTTGTCTCGCTAGAACAATTACGACTGAATAGTGAGTTCGATTCTCACTGGGTGCCCCATACATTCGGCCGTGTGCCACATCTAAGCTACGCCTGGAAAATTTCTACTACCTTCTAGATTTGTGCTAACATTTCTTAATTTTTTAAGTGGTGCAATTGCAGTATTTAAGAAAATATATTATTTGAGAAACATTGTTTTTAATGACCACCATCTTATTTTGGGGACGATGGTTGTTTTTTTTTTTTTTTTTTTTTGTTTTGTTTTGTTTAGCGACATATCAACCTCTATGGATTACTTAATGCTGAAATCTAAATAATGTGTACGTAATTTTATTTTATTTTGAGAACGACAGGGATTGATAGGTTATAGCCAGAAACCTATATAATAACATAGTTTTTTAAAAAAACATTTCGCCCCCAAGCTAGGCAATAAAGCCACTAAGACGCAGGGGTGGTTACTAAGTATAAAAGAATAAGAAAAAGAAAAAATATTAAGGGGAGAGAACAATAAAAGAACAGAAATCAAGAAAACAGCAGATAACGATTGATATTGCATTTAAATTTTTCAAGATCGAAGTTGGCTGGAAAGCAAGAAGCCGGAAGAGACGAGAAACGAAACTTTTAGCAAATAACTTACGGTTACATATAACTAGTTCAACTGTAAAATTATGAGACATTGTTGTCAATCTATTTCTACGTTTAAATTCATATTTTATAAATCTATAATTAATAACAGATTTGTTTAGAAACTTATAATTGATAACAGGTTATTTATGTTTGTTATAAATAATACTGGATTTTATGTTGTGTATTAATGGGTTAGAGGTAGATGCCTATAAATAATATAGGATTTTATGGTGTGTATAATGTACCCTTTTTTAACGCAATTCGTCCCAGGCAAGACGGGAGTGTTACTGGCACGCAAGGGGTTACAGAGGATTGAGAACAAGAGTAAAGAGGCGTGTTTGGGGAAGGGATACAGAGGAGGACGAGGAACAAGCTCAGGGGGTCAGATGTCGATTGATATTGCACTTGAATATTTGAAGATTATAGTCATCGGGGAAGCAAGTAAAAGGAAGGGAGGTCCACAGACCGGAAGTGCGAGAGAAGAAGCTGTTTGAGTAGAAGGGACGGTTACATTTAACCGTTTCGACAGTGAAAGGGTGGGACCGAGATGCCAGCCTAGTAGCTCGCTTAAATTTATGCAGTCTGGGAACCAGCGAAAGTAGCTCGTCGGAACAATTGTCGTGAAAATACTTGTAGAAGAGACAGAGGGTAGCCACGGCACGTCTGTGAGAAAGCGACTGTATACGAGATGTCAGATCAGGATCTATCGCATTGCATATTCGTCTCTGGCTTATGCTAAGGACCTCGAGACGTACATCGGGGGCACCAGACCATATGACAACAATATTCCATGCAAGGACGGATGGTTTATTTAACGATTGCCGTGATATTGCTAATAGAAGAGACAGAGGGAAGCCACGGCACGTCTGTGAGAAAGCGTTTGTAGACAAGATGCCAGATCAGGAACTATCACATTGCATATCCGGCTCTCTTAACATAAAACTTTATTGCCAGCTTGTATATCGTCCTCATGTCCCGATTGCATTCTGCAAACTAGTCAGTTGTGACAAATAGTGTTTAGTCTTGTGTGTCCAAAGAGCTGGTACAACCGTCTCTTTCAATCTGGAACAGTGCGTCACAACCAGTTTTTCCCGGAATCCTAGGGTTCTGCAAGAGGTAGCTTGGAGTTCTGCGAGAAAGAATGGTAAACAAGGTAATGAATTTTTGAGTAATTTTGTTTAATATCACATTCGTAGTTTTACTATACACGTACGGCATATTGTTGGAAAATTTTTGGTTGTATTAAAGATATCAATCTCTTATTTAAAATTATAATCATTACAGGGAATTTATTCAGCGATATCTCTTTGGTGTTTTTTTTTTAAATTTTGTGCAAGGGTTCTTTGAGATAACTATTTCAAGGATGGCACAAGGCTAAAAAAAGTTCAGATACTCTGATCTGGTAAGACAAATTTTGGTAGGTCAGTTTATTAGATGTATATTAATAATACACTAAATTTACAATAATCTATGACAGTTATAACTGACTCTGCTAAAAATGTCTCAAAACGTCTGGAATGCACCTCGTATACCCAGTCTTCCCTTTCTTGCCTCGACAGAGTCCAAACAGGTCTCCGCGTCCTTGTGGGTGATGAATTATTTTCCACTTTACAATCCTTTTCCCACTGATGAAACAGTGCAAACCTCTCGCTACTCTACCGCTATTTCCATGCAAAGTGTTCAGAGGAACTACATTCCTTAGATCCGCCAGTTCTAACTTGTTAATACCGTACCTATGAACACTAATACCTTGTTATATGCCGTACCTATGAACACTAATACCTTGTTATATACTGTACCTATGAACACTAATACCTTGTTATATACCATACCTATGAACACTAATACCTTGTTATATACCATACCTATGAACACTAATACCTTGTTATATACCGTACCTATTAACATTAATGGGTATGTCTCAATCCTCATAAATACGTTAGAGTCTATTATAAGTGGGGGTAATATGCTGTCTCAGTAGTCCACCATGAGCAGTGGTTTACCTACTTCCCACCACTGGTGGCGATTATTGTATTTTGTTGATGTTATAAAGATTACCATTTCATTTCCAACCTCCGTTTTGGTTATTTTTCATTTAGTAACTCTTTCTAGGTTACAACAAACCTTCACAGCCACGAGCCGCCATGTCACGTACATGGTAGTGAGAAACCCACATTTCCCTCGTATTCCATTCGTAAGATGTAAGTTCCCACGAGTAGTTACTTTGTGGGAACGACTCCTAAGAAAATGCTTCCCTGGTCACTAAAATTTTAACTTGTTCAAGTGTAGGGTTAACTGTTATCTTTCTAACCTATCCGCATAAACTCTGCCTCGTAATCTATAAGCCTCTACCTCGAGTGGCTCTAGGGACTTGTACAGGGTGAACCTTACTGTAAAAAAAAATACCTGTATGTATTATATATGTATTACATATGGAAGCACATAATGTGAAAATAGTCATCAAAGCGAAAGTGCTCGGACGAACTGAATTCCTTGGTTCCGCCAGTTCTAACTTTCACGACTAGCAATCATCGTAGCAAACCATCCGCACTGTCTCCATATTCCATCATTGAGAAGTAAGTTCCACACGAACAGCTTCTTACCGCGGATCACTGCACTTTGGAACTGACTCCAAAGAAGATACTTTTCCAATAAGTACATCTTAACCTGTTCAAGTCTAGAGTTAACCGTTATCTTAACCTATCCGCATAGAGCTTCTACCTCGAGTGACTCCCGGGCCTTGTACAGGATGAATCTCACCGTAAAAAATTACCTTTATGTATTATATATTTATTACATATGGAAGCACGAAATGCGAAAATAGTCATCAAAGCTATTATTTTTCTGAACACATGTGGCTGTACAGGGAGTGTATTTTAAGTACAAGTTACTATTTCTCAGAATTGCTTCCGTATTTACCTGTTACTTTTCACATTTTTTCTTTTTTACTTCTTTTTTTTTCCTTTTACCGTTTTCTTTTTTTTGTTTTTCCTTCCTTTAACCTTTTTATAATTCATGGCGCTGTTTTTACATTCTTTCTTTGACCTCATTTCTTTCTTTCTTTCTTTCTTTCTTTCTTTCTTTCTTTCTTTCTTTCTTTCGTTTTTCTTCTTTTTCTTTTACCCTTCTTTGCTTCCTTCCTTTTCCTTCTTTTTGCCTTTTCTCTTTCTTTTTTCCTTCTTTTTTTACTTTCGTTTTGACTTTCCTCTTCTTTCTTAACACCGGCCGTAAAACTCTTTCTTTCTTTCTTTCTTCTTTGCTTCCATCCTTCTTTTTTTCTTCCACTCTTTTTTCTTCTTTTTTAATACGTGATATGTGTGTGTGTATATATATATATATATATATATATATATATATATATATATATATGGTTTTACGACTATTGTCGTCAGTACACTAGGGTCTCTAGTTATTTACAAGAATGCATAGCAATTCTCAGATGATAAAGCAAAGGAGGTTTCAACAATTGTCCGCCGTTTCTCTCAATGTTCGATTTAATTAATTTATGCTAGTTGGAAGCCCTTAGGTTGATTTTTTTGCTTGTTTTTGTGTGCGTGAGGGTTTTGTTTGTGTGCGCGTGTGTATGTGAGTATGTTTCAAAACTTAATGGCATGAGAGCTTCCATATTTCTAGTAGAAGTATAGTGGTACCAGAAGCAGGTGTTGTTAACTACAATCACTATTTTCTAAGCACATTTTCATTTGCAAATGTATAAAAGACGTGGGTAATTACTCAGGTAGAAGGCACCCCAGGAATGTCGTTTAGTTTTATGTATGGAATGATTTGAACCTCCCTGGGTGCACGTATATCCCTCTATGCAAAAGTATATTCATTTTTTGAAAGTATATTTTACAAATACAAAGGATGCCTGGAAGGAAGTCAAATTGCTGGACTTCTAAATAGTATGAAAATAAAAAAGATGATAAATATGTAGATATAGATATTAACTAAGTTTAGCTTAGTACTCCATTAAAGCACAAGACCACAAAGAGGCGTACAGAGAAGCTCAGACTCATGACGCAGAATTAATGAGCTTCTAAACTAGCTTGCTTGTCTCATGGTGACGAGGTTATATATATATATATATATATATATATATATATATATAATTATTGAACAATATAGTTCATGCCACATTGACGGAAAACCTACCAGTAAAAAAAGAATTCTCTTATTACTATATTTGTACAAAAACGCACAATATTAAAATTTAAACTCAGCGTTGCGACCGCACGTTCCAAAACAATAACACATTTCTCATCGCATTTTTTCGGATCACATCTCTATTTTCGTTGTTATTACCGAGAAGTAAAAACAAGAACAACATCTGTTTCCATACCTGAGGATGTCTGTAGGAACAGACGAAAGCTTGTAAAAAATTAAAAAGGGTCTTTTTAATTTTTTACAAGCTTTCGTCTGTTCCTATGCGACTGGAATTTATAAACAGAGATCATATCATTCATGTACGGGTTCGGTGTTGGTGTATCTTATTGATATTGTTTGCGAAGATGTATTCTCGCCATTTAAATCATTAACCTCACCTCTATATTTGTTTTTTTTGAATGATTTATATATATATATATATATATATATATATATATATATATATATATATATATATATATATACGGTTCCGTATAGGATACAGGTTCGATTTCTGTCGGAGGACGCATATTTTCTATGAACATTTCTCGGGCATTCAGGCCAGTAAATGTTGTTAATACTGTTTATTATAAACAGAGCATTTGCTTAAATATTTGTATTTATAAAAAAGAACGTATAAACATAAAAAAAGTGTCTTAAAAAATAATTTGTCGGACTTTGTCCCTAGTTCTGTTTTATTTCCAAGCGAATTTCCAAAATTCTCTTGAAAATGAAACAGAACTAGGGACTGTAATTTAATTTAATTCTATAATGGTAATCCCTGTGTAGCGATGGAACCATATTTTTAAGTAAGTAAATTTATAATATTTATGCTCTGTTTGAGCACTGTTTTGTAAAAATAAAAAAAATATTAATAAGAACACCGGATTATATATCTTACTGTTCTTTCTCCTTATTATATATATATATATATATATATATATATATATATATATACTATTTACATTGTTCGGATTGTTGTCCTCATCTTCATTGTCAAAAAGTTGTGAGTTTAATATCTGGCCACAGTAGAGGTGAACCAAAAATTTGAGTTACCAAAAGCAAATAACTGAACCTGAGATATCCAGAAAAGGCATGACACATGGAACTAGAACAATCTATCCTGGTGGGCGAAATAAAGGGCTTGGTTCGAAATTCCAACGTATATTACTTGAAGAAGACCGGAACGTGCAAGGCCCGAATCGTCATGAATATGACAATAAAGATGAGGATAACACTCCGAAAAATGTAAATAGTTACAATACTCCATCTCAGTAATATAGACATAGACGTAATTGATCTACCGAGACAAGCTTGCTAACCATTACATCACGTCGAAGCGCCACTAGTCGACCATATAGCTGGAGTCTGGCCCATGAAAAAATGTATAAGGGTAATTTTACACAATGACGAACACACTGAATAGGTAGTATTAACTTCCGAGGTAACTAGAGATTGTCACCGCTTAATTCAGAATAGAAACTATTTTTGGTAAACTGCAAAAGGGTACATCTTTTTAACGCGACATGGAATACACCAGAAACCTAATTTTATGGGTCTATATAAATATTTCTTTCCAAAAATACCAGGTAGGTATAAATATGTCCGAAAGTTAAAAAAAGTAAATATATCTTCATTAATGACCTTTCCGATGTTATCAGTTCCCGAGCAGGCATCTACGCGGACCACATTACTATTTACTCCTGCCTCAATAGTAAATCTGGTATCGTTGACAAAACTAACTTGGCCGCTTATCTCGAAAATGACCTCCAATTTGTGGTTGACTGGGGCAGAAAATGGCTTATTAATTTTAATGCCTCCAAAACGAAACTGCTCTCCTTTACTCACCGGAGAGAACCCTCCCTGTTTCCCATCAGAATGGCTGATTCCCAACTCCTCGAGAGCGCCTCGTTACGCCTGCTTGGTCTCACACTGTCCGCTGACATAAAGGTGGAACAAATAGCTTCATTTACCGCAAGGAAAGTTAGTTCTCTGTGTCGTGCTAGAAAGTTTTTCTCCTTTGAATCCATCTTTCAAATCTATAAATCAACCATCCGTCCTTGCATGGAATATTGCTGTCATATATAGTCTAGTGTTTCCCGGTGTACATCTCGAAGTCCTCGACAAAATCCAGAGACGAATATGCAATGCGATAGATCCTGATCTGGCATCTCGTCTACAGTCGTGTTGTGGTAGGATCCACCTAATTTGCATAGTGGAGTACCGACCATATAAATGGTACCGGGAAGAGAGGGAGGAATCAAGAGATTCAACCAGAGACTCTGCCCGACTGCGACTAAGTCAACCCATTCTCCTGGAACGGTCTTCCCAAGAATATACAAAAGACTATATGTAAATATTGTGTACACTTTCTTGTTTCAATACATTTTGTTCTAAGTACATTTTGTGTTGTATTATTATTCCATGCATTAGTCAAGTTTCAACAAGTCGCTTTCTCCCATACGTGCGTGGCTTCCCTCTGTCTCTTCCACAAGTATTTTCACGGCAATTGTTCCGACGAGATACTTTCGCTGGTTCCCGGACCTCATGAATGTAAGCGAGTTACTAGGCTGGCAACTCGGTCCCACCGTTTCACTGCCGAAACGGTTAAATGTAACCGTCTCTTCTACTCAAACAGCTTCTTCTCTCGCACTTCCGGTCTGTGGACCTCCCTTCCTTTTACTTGCTTCCCCGATGATTATAATCTTCAAATATTCAAGTGTAATGTCAATCGATATCTTCTGATATATTGATCTTGTTCCCCGTCCTACTCTGTATCTTTTCCTCAAACACGCCTCTGTACTCTTGTTCTCAATCCTCTGTAACCCCTTGCTTGCTAGTGGTACTCCCGCCTTTCTTGTGGTGAATTGCTTAAAAATTGTTAAGAATAGGTAAATATGTATAAAGACAGTGCGGCATTTCGAAAGTAACTTTGGTCAAGGTATACCCTGATTGTGTCTTAACATCGTTACTGTGTACATGTGAAATGGCGGCTGTCTATGAATGGAAATGAACTCTAGAATGCATGTCAGCGAAGTAGAGGCGCGGGTTCACAGCCAGTGCGACGGTATCAGGCATAACAATTCTTTAACCTGAGTTGCATTTGTGTAGTCATGTTTCTTGCATGAGCGACAACAGGATTCCTAAGCATGGAGAACGTACTAACGGAAAACGATCGGTCCCTAAGCCACAGAAGCGTTATCAGGATAGTCTGAAGAAATCACTGAACCTTGCAAACATTGGTACACATGTCTGGGAGTTCCATGCAAATTATTTACCATCTGTCAAAAGAAGGTTTATGCTGATTTTCCAATCACAGCTTAGATGTGGCACATGAGACACCTAGCGGGTATCAAACTCTCTGCTCAGTCGCAATTGTTCTAGCCTAACATATCTACTCCCACTGTGATAAAAAATAAATAATTAGTAAATAAATTTTCAGAATTTAAGCAGAGACATTAGAAGCATAGATTTGAAGTAAACTTTAGAAGAAACCGGAAACCCAATCCTAAACAGCAAACAAGGGATAAACCTCTACACCTGTTCAAAGAATGTGAACCGGACGTTAGGTCAGTCTATCTGCTCCTAATGAGGAAAAAAAATTTTTTTTTTAAGCATTACGCCCCGAGCAAGGCGTGAAGCCACTAGGATGCAGGGGGATGCAGAGGATTTGGAGCAAGAGCAGATAGGAGTGATAGAAGAAAGGATGAGGAGAGGGATAGTGGATAGATCAAGGTAACTGGAGGTGTCGATTGACATTACATTTGAATAGTTGGAGATTATAGCTCTCAGGGAAACAGTAATTGGGAAGGGTGTTCCACAGAGAAAATAAAATTTAATAGTTTAGGCGGAGACGTTAGAAGTATAGATTTGAAGTAAACTTTAGAAGGAACCGGAAACCCAATCCTAAACAAGAAACAAGGAATAAACCTCTACTCTTATTAAAAAAACAAGCACAAAATGGTATTAAATACAAACAGTTCATGTTGGTCAATTGGTGGACTGAAAAGACACGCAAACATTTATAATAATAAACCTAGTGTCAATAAAAATTGTACGTCTTATGTCTGCCATATTTGTTTTAGAGGTTTCAATAGGTTGCCCGATCGTCTTAATTGACATTGAGGTGGCGGCCATAATGTATACACGGATATATGTATATGGGCCGCGTGGCCGAGCGGTTAGAACGTTTGATTTTTGACGAAAGTATACATGTTTGATGCTTAGGTACTTCAATAATTAAATGTCTAATGTTTCTCAAGGAAACATTTTGTAGTACATGAAATAATAGCGGTGAAAAGAGTACATGCAAAAAATAACAGGCCAATTGATTTGCAATGCAAAAGAAATTACTTGCATTATTTGCATTATTCGGACTGTTATCCTCATCTTCATTGCCATATTCACAACGTTTCGGCCGTTGTATGCTCCGGCCTTCTTCAGGTGATTGGAATTTCGAATCGAACCCTTTATTTCGTCCACGGGGGGGTTAGATTGTTCTAGTTCCTCGTGCCACGCCTCTTCCGAATGTCTCAGCTATTTCCCTTTAACTTAAATTTCCAATTATTGATTTACCACTGCTGTGGTTTGTTATTGAACACAACTCTTTGGGTCTAGTCATTTGATCTAACAACTGGGCCATGTGTCCTTGAGGGTTCGAAATTCCAATCACTTGAAGAAGGCCGGAGTGTACAACGACCAAAACATTATGAATATGGAAATGAAGATGAGAATAACAGTCCGAATAATGTAAATAATACAAGTAATCCTAACACCTCATCTCAGAGATATAGACAGATGCAAAATAACAATTATTAGACAAATTAACAAAAGGGAAGTTTAAAACAAGAGTTTATTTTGTTAGATGTAAATTGTATACACGAAATTGTATACATAAAGATGTTATAGTGGGAACTTACTGTGTTTATTTTTTTTATGTGTGTAGCGTTCACAGCCTTTTTAGCTTCAGCGTGTAAAGTTCTTGACACCAGTTCGAAAAAGGAAAAACCTGGAAGAGGTAGAGAGTTACTTTAGGGTTCACGTGTTTTTTATATTTGAGAGCTGTTGCTGATATGAATTTTATTTTAGGGCTGCTACTATGTTTAAGGTCATTACACGCAGTTGTTGTTTTGTGTGTTTAGTGACATATCAACCTCTATTGGTTATTTAATGACGAAATCTAAATATTTGGAACACAATTTTATGACTTCAGCTAAATATTTTAATTTGTGAACGTGATTTTATGCCTTCAATCATAGATAAAATGTATTATTAGTTATTTTGCTATAAAATGTATTGTTAGTAATTCTACTGTAAAAATGTATTGCGGGTCATTTTGTTTTAAAATTGTATTGCTGATAATTTTACAATATAAAATGTATTGATGGCAATTTTACAATATAAAAAGGTATTGCTGGTAATTTTACAATGTAAAAATATATTGCTGGTAATTTTACAATATAAGATGTATTGCTAGTAATTTTACAACATAAAATGTATTGCTGGTGATTTTAAAATATAAAAACATATTGCTGGTAATTTTGAAATATAAAAATATATTGCTGGTAATTTTACAATATCAAAATGTATTGCTTAATTTTACGACATAAAAATTTATTGTTGGTAATTTTTCAATATAAAAACGTATTGTTGGTAATTAATTTTACAATATAAAAACTTATTGCTGGTAATTTTAACTTACCGGAACTACTTTTTATATTGTAAATATAAAAAGTAGTTCCGGTAATTTTACAATATAAAAACGTTTTTACTATAAAAATGTATTTTTATACTTTTATAGAGTTTTGTTTTTGTTTGGGGGAGGTCATTATTTGCCCATAGATGGGACCCTAACAGGTGCTACCACCCGGGTCAGAGTGGACCTCAAGAGAAAAACCTCCAATCTCCCGATGAAAGGCCTTCCTGCCGGATGTAGTTTATCGTCATACCCAGGTTTACAGGTAGATACGGAAGCTACCTATGCTAGTTTTGTAACAAAGTATGTGATCTGAAGAATCATATATGAATGCATAAGACCGGAAAAAATGGAAGACCATAGAGAAGTCTTTTGTCTGTCATATATGCACAGATCAGATATTGTAATTTAAGTTCCTCAATATTTCTTGGGTACGTCTGATAAACAACTAATTTCAAATGAAAAAAAATCCAAGGGCGTGATGTCTTGGTGGTCATTCAACAGGACCTTTCAAAACAAATTAGACATTTAAGACATGATTAATTGATCCTTATGGTGCGCGACTTTTGCCTCACCCTGTATATTGTGTCTTTGGGTAGCAGTCCCTCTTTTATACAAGTTTCGTTAAAAATGACTTACAAGTTTTTTATTTAATTTTTCTTGTGTTCGTATATTTTTTTTCGTTTCTGGACAACAATTTAGTAGGAATTGTTCGAATTCTTCGAATTAATTATTGTCCAAATTAATTATTTAATTACTTATTTGATATTATTAATCAATTAATTATTTGATATTATTAATCAATTAATTATTTGATATTATTAATTAATTATTGTTCGAATTAATCGCAGTACCTATTAAGTCGTTTTTAACAAAAATTGTATATATATATGTGTGCGTGTGGGTGTCAAAAGTTAAGAATGGCAAATATGTATGCGCTTAGATTTAGGGGTAATGTCGCTCATAGATACACATACATATGCCAGACCTAAAATTGAGTATTGCTATGCAGGAGTTCTAACTTTCCTGTCTCGAGAGTGTCCAAAAGCGACTTCGCGCCCTTATAGGTGACAAATTATCTTCCACCCTGAAACTCTTCTCTCATAGACATGATGTGGCACGTCTCTCACTGCCCTATCGCTATTTCTATGGAAATTGCCCTGACGAACTGAATTCCTTGGTTCCGCCAGTTCAATCTTTCACGACTAGAGCCCGCCATGCCAGTTTACATTGTAACAAACCACCCACGTTCTCTCCGTATTGTATCGGTGAGAATTAAGTTCCACTCGAACAGCTTCTTCCCGCGGACCACTGCTCTTTGGAACCGACTCCCAAGAAGATTTTTCCCCAATAAGTACATCTTAACCTGTTCAAGTCTATAGTTAACCGTTATCTTCCCAAACTATCTGCATAAACTCTGTAAGCCTCTACCACGACTGACTCCCACGCCTTGTACAGGAGGAATCTCACTGTAAATGTAATATCTGTATGTGTTATATATGTATTACATATGGAAGCACAGAATGCAAAAATAGTCATCAAAGCGATTATTTTTCTGAACACATGTGGCTGTACAGCGAGTGTATTTAAAGTACAAGTTAATATTTCTCAGAATTGCTTCCGTATCTACCTGTTAATTTTGACATATTTTTCTTCCGCATTTCTTTCTTTTTTATTTCTTTTCCCCCCTTTTCTTTCCTTTTACCGTTTTCTTTTTCTTTCTTTTAACCTTTTTAATTCCTGACACTCTTTCTATATTATCTCTTTCACCTCATTTCATCCTTTCTTTCTTTCTTTCTTTCTTTCTTTCTTTCTTTACTCACTTCTTTCCATTTTTTCTTCTTTTTCTTTTTTCCTTCTTTGCTTTGTTCCTTTTTCTTCTTTTTGCCTTTTCTCTTACTTTTTTCCTTCGTTTTTACTTTCGTTTTGACTTTCTTCTTTCTTAACTCCGTCCGTAAATTTTTTTCTTTGTTTCTGCTCATTTCTTTCTTTTCTTTCTTTCTTTCTTTCTTTCTTTCTTTCTTTCTTTCTTTGCTTGCTTCCTTCCTTTTCCTTCTTTTTAATTTCTCTCTGTCTTTTTCCTTCTTTTTTCTTTCCACCCTTTCTTCTTTCTTAAGTCCGCCCCTACCACTCTTTCTTTCTTTCTTTCTTTCTTTCTTTCTTTCTTTCTTTCTTTCTTTCTTTCTTTCTTTCTTCTTTTCGAATTCCAATCTTTGTTTCCTTTTTTCTTTTCTTTTCCACAATGAGTTTGTTGAGATCCGGCTTCTTCATATTCCTTGATAAGTACGATAAATAAACACATACTCTGTTCTCTATATCTCCCTTACACACACACACACACACACACACAAATACACACACACACACAAATACACACACACAAATACACACACACAAATACACACACGCACACGAACGCACGCACAAAGTCACACCTAGAAAATAGGTTTTTATCTACTTGCCACAACAGGTACATACCACCATTCTTATCTTTTTTGTATATTCACACATAAGCATATGTGAGTATTCCTCTATAAATAACATGCATTTGATTCTCTTTAAATTCACTCTCTTTCTCTATCTTTATCTATTTCTCTCTGATATATATATATATATATATATATTTGTGTGTGTGTGTGTGTAGTAAAAATAAAGATAGTATACCTAGGCATCTACTGAATATTAAGCCGAATGTACAGGCAATGTCTGTTAAACCATTTACATTCTCCTCGTGTCAACTAAGCTTGTAAAGGAAGTTGGCAAAATGAAGTATAATGTTCCGAAGTACTTTCCACCACTGTTGGTCGTTTTCGAGAAAAGACGGTTGAAAATCGTGAAATCGTCAGTACAGTGTATAATATTCGGCCACTCGTATTCGAGGATACCCGTTTACTAGGGCGGCTAGCCAATCCCTATTGCCGACGCTCGCTCAGACATATTTGTGTTTGCTCAACACCCACAGAGCCCACCTGTGGTTTATACTGCAACTATGCTGAGCAGACCTTAGTTACAGTTTCTGAGAGAGAGCGTGTTATCTAGCGTGATCAACTATTTGAACAAGGCCAGAACGCTGAAGCCCTCGGCCACGATGACTTGTGACTTTCTTGCTAGAACAGCTGTCGACGGCCTTCAAAAGGCTTGAGTCAACCCCGTGGTATGGTTTTCAAGCACAGAGTGTACAGATACAAACATACATACACACACACGGACACACACACAGACACACACATATGGGGAAAATTTTAGGAACATTCATGACAAAGTTAAAAAAAATATTTGGTACGAGTCGCTTCGTCCTTTACGACTTCATCAGACAAAAGGGGCTGAACTGGTTGAAGTAAAAATTGAAGTGAGTCAGGTCGAAGAGTATTTCGAACCTTTTTGTATATAACCGAAGTTCCCCTGAATTATAAAAAGCTACCTAAGAAAATATTCAGTTCCTCCTTTCATTTGACTCTTGACGGCTAAACCATGCGGCATGGACACTACAGAGTTGTTGTATGGGTATATTTCTCCAGGCAGAGAGAACAGAGTGTGGCTTGCCAGATTTCTATACATGCTCAATGGGGGTTGAATCTGACAAGTCTGGAAAACAATGGAGTCCTTGGAAACCAGCCAAGTGTTATTGAAACCAGTTCCGTATCAGCCGTGCACAATGTGAGATTGTAATTATCTCACCGGAACAAAACATCATCACCGGACGACAAAAACATAAAGAGGTGAAAAATACTCGGCAACAAGATCTCTGCATGTCACACCTATTAATGCAGAATTCTGTTTCCCGAATGGTCCATATTCAACTCGAAGAGACATCACAGCTGACTGTCTATTTATCTATTTTTTTAATAATTGTTCACCAAATACAAGACACAATAGCCACTCAAGTTATAGGATTAATGAATTAGGTTTTTGTATCCTCTCAAGAATCTATCTTTTTTTATGAATTGTTCACACAATACAAGGCTCAAGTGCCTCTCAATGTAGACGATTACTGAATAAGTGCGTTGTATGAATATTAGGGGAGGAGCAAGGAAGGGGAGTTCCTGAGATCTTGTGGGAAATATAACGGTAAACCCTAGACTTGAAGACATTAAAATTGTCGTGATCGATGAAGCATCTATCTATCTATCTATCTATCTATCTATCTATCTATCTATCTATCTATCTATTTTTGATGAATTATTCACCCAATACAAGACCCAAGACTCACTCAAGGTAGAGGATCACTGAATTAGGTTGTTGCATTTCCCTCGTGAATCTATCTGAGTATATTCAAATCTATCTATCTATCTATCTATCTATCTATCTATCTATCTATCTATCTATCTTTTTCAGTTTATATCTATCTATCTATCTATCTATCTGAATTTATATCTATTTCAATCTATCTCAGTTTATATCTACATATCTCAGTTTCTTTATTTCTTTCTTTCCTTCTATCTATCTATCTATCTATCTATCTATCTATCTATCTATCTATCTATCTAAGAACATTTTTACAGTGTTTTATCTATTCTTGTTGACTAATTCACAGCAAACTCTAACCACACGAAGTACTTTCATGATGTGTGTCTCAGAAGCTAGTATACACACACACACACACACACGCACGCACACGCGCGCGCACACACGCACGCACGCACGCACACGCACGCACACACACGCATGCACACACACACACACAGAGAATGTATAATGGCTAACGTCGAATATTAAAAGTGTTAGATCTTGAAAATGACCGGAAGTGTGGTTGAAAGCGTTCGATCACAAATATCAAGACGATATCTATATTCATTGAACCCAAATACACCCTCGCTTTTGTATAAAGAAGAATATTTAACTAAAAACGTAAGAAAAGAAAAAAAAACAATCCTTGTCGATCATATTTAATGACACGCGTATCATTAAAAAAAAACGCAACTTCAACACGCGTACGAACACACACACACAATGTCAAAACACACACACAACCTCAATATATACATACTCGTGCACAAGTGTGTAACATCTCCACAAATACACCTTTTCACATAGTATATATATATTTATGAGAGAGAGAGAGAGAGAGAGAGAGAGAATGAGAGAGAGAGAGAATGAACGTTACATTTACCTATGCGCAAATATCGTTGGTAGAAGTATGAAATTATCTCCTCCCCCACCTGTGGGTTAAATAGTAGGACTTTTATCTGGAAAATCAATGTTATTCTCAAAAAGTTGTTAATTCAGTATTACCCCGCAAAAACAAAATATTCTTGCAATACATGTTTCGTCTTTAAATAACCCACAAAGAGGGTGATAAGCTCCCAAAACAACAACAACAAATCAATCAATGTGTGTGTGTGTGTGTGTGTGTGTGTGTGAGAGAGAGAGAGAGAGAGAGAGAGAGAGAGAGGCCAAGTTAAAACATAGATTATTCGAACTCTTGTCTTTACAATTGATTGATTGATTCGTTTTTTACGGCTTATCAACCCATTGCAGATTATTTAAAGCCAGAAAATATTTTTGGATTGTCAGAATTTTTGGGTGATAATAATGTTTTAGTGATATAAGTCTTACTAATTAACCCATAGCTGGGGGAGAAGAGGTGGATTTCCTAAGGGTATTTATACATAAGTGAATATAACGGATCCAACTAGAATTGAAAGTCGACTCTCTGATTAACAATTCCGAGACATTATCTCTTACACCACCCGCACATATAACCTTACAGCACCTATTAACCTTGTTGTTTTAGCATAAGGTCTTGGCTGATGCATTCTTCGGAATTTTTCTGTGGTTCAAAACACGAAAAGTAATGACGACAATCTGAATAACTACTGCTGTAATGAAAACGCCTCATAACAGAAATCCAGAAAACAAACACGGAAGCATAAATTAACAGAAATTTAAAGTTAGTCCTGATAATGGCTGAAAATCACTCGACACAACTTCGCACACTTAGACTCTCAGCGGGTTTTACAAAAGTAAATTCTGTGATGCCAATAAACACTCGCTGCCACTTTGTGATGCCAACGAATACTCGTTGTCACTTTTGTCTTGCTCGTTGTAGTAGAGACTTTTTAATCGCAGATACAGCTATAGTACGCCGTTGAACAATACTGGTGTCAGACGCCTTCGAATAACACTCGCACTAATAGTGATATTTAGCTACCCCCCTACACGAGGGTTACATACGGCACAAGGCCGGGTTTAACATGGGATTTCCGAGGCCGTAGGCACGGCCAAAAATATTCCCTCTTTGAACCCGCATAAGCGGGTTTAGGGGCAGTCAACCACCCCGAACGAGACTCTGCCCTTCGGCGGAGCCTCGTCCGGGTTCCTCTCCGACCGAGAGCAGAGAGTTAGAGTGTTACTTAGCAAATATTTTTGCCCTAATAGTACTTGCTCTATAATACTCGCTCGGAAAGTAATCACCGTATAGATAAATAGTATAGTGAATAGAGTAGAGAATAGTGGCCCGTATAGTAATAGTGGATAGAGTAGAAATAGCGATCCGAACAGTAATAGAGGATAGAATATAAATAACGATCAATTAGACACACGCTACTTCCATATATGTGTTTCCACTATAGTCACGTGGTTTACTTAATTCAATAATGGGATCGCCTTTGTTTACTCACTGGACATCTATGTTCAAACTTAAGTATCGACAGTGACATTTTATTCCTATATAAGAGAAAATTAATTTTGGAGTATTTGAAGTTTAAAAATGAGAATAAAACGATAACGAATTAATATTTTCATCTATCTATCTATCTATCTATCTATCTATCTATCTATCTATCTATCTGAGTATATTCATATCTATCTATCTATCTATCTATCTATCTATCTATCTATCTATCTAACCTAATCTGTCTAAATCTATCTATCTATCTATCTGAGTATATCCATATCTATCTATCTATCTATCTATCTATCTATCTATCTTAGTATATTCAAATCTATCTATCTATCTATCTATCTATCTGAGTATATTCATATCTATCTATCTATCTATCTATCTATCTATCTGAGTTTATTCATATCTATCTATCTATCTATCTATCTATCTATCTATCTATCTATCTATCTCAATCTGTCTAAATCTATCTATCTATCTATCTATCTATCTATCTATCTATCTATCTATCTATAATAATGTTTAACTTACAAAAAATAGTAAGAAACATGTGACTGAAAGTATTGTCCATTGATAGCCACTACCATTTACTATATTTCTGGCAGCATTTGAATCCCACGTGGTAAAAACGACACATCTTTTGAGGCTAAACACAGTTCGACCCATTTTTGGCATCTTCATAAGAATGAAAGTTCTGCTCAGCCAGACCATATGCCATTGATCAGAACAAGTGATAATCGGACGGGGGCAATATTGGGTGAATACGGTGGGTGGGGTACAACTTCCCATTTAAGCGTTTCCAAATAGGTTTTCACCCGTTTTGCCACATGTGGCCTAGCGTTGTCATGTTGCAAAATCACTTTGTCGTGTCTCTGTTCATATAGTGGCCGTTTTTTTTTCAATGCTCGGATCAAAAGCATCAATTGTAGTCGATAGTGATCTCCCGTGGTGGTTTCGGTCGGCTTGAGTTGCTCATAATAAACTACACCCAGCTGATCCCACCAACTGCAGAGCAGAAGCTTCGGACCATAAATATTCGGCTTTGTCGCCGATGTCGATAACTAGCCGGGCTTACCCCACGATCTTCTACGCTTAGGGTTATCGTTGTGTATGCACTTTTCATCGCCGGTCACGATACGATGCAAAACATCTTTTTCTGCCGTTGAATCAACTGTTCACACGTGACAAGACGCCGTTCGACGTCTCTCGGCTTCAACTCGAACGGCAACCAATGTCCTTGCTTTTGAATCATTCCTAATGCTTTCAAACGAGTCGAAACTGTTGTGTGGTCAACTCCCAATGATTCTGCAAGTTCAGCTTGTGTCTGACATGAGTTTTCATGAAGTAATGCTTGCAATTCCTCGTTTTCAATCTTTTTCGGTGCGCCAGAGCGTTCTTTAACTTCAACATCAAAATCATTATTTTTGAATCATCTAAAGCAATCTCTGCATGTTGTTTCCGACAGAGCATGGTCGCCGTAAGTATTCAAAAGAACTCGGTGTGCTCCAGCTGCAGATTTTTTTTTGAACAAAGTAATGCAGTAAAATTTCCCGCA